AACATTTTGCATGGAGGTTCTCTTATGATTTCTGTTTATATTTATGCTTGGAAATAATATATTCCCAGTTAGTTCTCCTAAATTCCCATTAATTTCCATAATTCCCATTATTTTCATGGAAAGTTTCCAATATGGAATATTTCCAAAATTCCCAAGCTTAACTTACCATGGAAATTTACCGGAAACTTTCCGGAAATTTACCGGAAATTTTCCGCCCCTTTGCAACCCTATATATATGTAAATAAAAGATATTTCCCATCCCTACTTTCCAGGCATAAAATGATATGCAAGAAGAAACGTTTATATCAGTAGTGGCTATAATGGGGGAGGGGCACTTAAGAACATAATAATTTACAAACGAGAGGAGGTTATTCAGCCCATCAAGCTCGTTTGGAGAGAACTTAACTAATAGCTTAGAGTTGTTAAAATCTTATCTAGCTCTGATTTAACTTAAAGGGTTAAAGCAGATTAACTCGCAAGGGTAAAAGCTTCCAGGGTCACTGCTTATTTTAGTTCATTATATACAGTTTCCCCCTCACCCAATCTCACTTTGACATTTGCAGTTTTGGTTATTCATTAGATGCCCTTGAACAATTAAATGGGATTGTTTTTGGAACTTGCTCACAGATCACAAAAATATATAAACAATACTGAAAATGATTTTCATCATACAAAATACATACATTTTATTGTTTTATAACATTTGTTAGTGTAATACTGCTAAAAGTTATTTTTGGTTGAAAAAATATGGAGAACAAGAAAATTAGGAATGGACTTCATCCGAGTGGATTTTTTAAAATTATCTTACTTTCGCTACCATGGTAGAGCATCTAGACACTGTGGCTTTCCAGTTGGCTAACTTTTCCCTTCTTATTAAATTTTCTCTTAATTTTATTTGAGCATTTTAACACAGATTCAATTAGAACATACATCATACTCTCGCCAAGAACTGTTGAACATCAGAAACACAAGAAAAATCTTTATAATACGTTTGCCACAACTATAATACCACTGGAGATAACTGGCCCAAAAAGAACGTCAGTGTTTGAATGGATCTTTGTGCTGCTCATGATGAAGCGCAGGTGGCACAAAGAACATAAATAAAAGCGGGGATAGGGGGCCAAAGCACAAGCTAGACTAACGAAAGCACCACAGAATCCTCCGCTCCCAAGTACTTTCCTTGCCAACATGTAGTCCCTAACCAACAAAGCAAATGAACAGGACTCGTGCCTTAATATTTACAAAAACATGGGCGAACTCCTCAACACCAGGTGTCACTATTAAACTTTAAGGCCACATCCTATAATGCAGACAGTACAAAAGACTCTGGTAAGAGCAAAGGTGGAGGTCACTGTCTTTACATTCAAAAACAACTGATGCACGGATTCTCCGACTGTCAATCGTCACCGCTCCCCCTCACTAGAATATTCAGCAACTTTACAGCTGCAGTAATCAAAGTTGTATATGTACACCATTAGCACAAAGGTAGCACTAGACAACCTGCTTAAAGCCATAATTCAAACCAAAATAATGCATTCTCCAGTGGAGTGCTGATTATGGCTTATAATAATCTTACTAATCTTAAACCGATTTGCAAAATTTTTTAACATGTAAAATTCCCCACCAGGGGCAGCACTGTGGTGCAGTGGTTAACACTGTCACCTCACACCTCTGGGACCTGGGTTTGAGTCTCTGCCAGGGTTCCATGTATGTGGGAATTTGCATGTTCTCCGTGTCATCGAGGGGTTTCCTCCGGGTACTCTGGTTTCCGCCCCACAGTCAAAAAACATGCCGAGGCTAACTGAAGTTACCAAATTGCCCATAGGTGTGCATGTGTGACTTAATGGTGTGTGTGTGCACCCTGCGATGGGTTGCCACCCCATCCTGGGTTGTTCCCTGCCTTGCGCACGTAGCCTGTAGGATAGGCTCCGGACCCCCTGCAACACTGAACAGGATAAGCGGTTTCAGAAAATGAATGGATGGAATTCCCCACCAGAGATATAAATACATTGGACCATGTTTATAGTAACATAAAAAGCACATACAGAGTCCCCCCCTCCCCATTTAGGACAGTCTGACCATATCTCACTGACCCTAAAACCTATCCACAAACCCATCATAAATAGAATTAAACCTAATACCAAAATAATAATGATATGGCATGAGGAAGCCCTCCCCCACCTACAGGACTGTTTTAAGTGCACAGATTGGGACAGCTTGGAAGAACAAACATCACATGAGAAGCGAGACATTAACCCTTACCCATGCTCTTTGCCCGATTACATCAAGTTCTGTACTGATAAGCTGATTGTTCATAAACATATGCATTATCTACAACCAATAGGCCTGGATGAACAGTGAGGTCCGACACCTTCTAAAAGTATGTGATGCAGCATACAGGTCTGGTAGTGTTGCAACATACAGCCTAGCCAGAGCCAACCTGAAAAGAGGAATCAAACGTGCCAAGATAGCACATAAATACAACAATACAGTGGTACCTCGGCTCGCGAACTTAATTCGTTCGAGGACTCATTTCGTGACCCGAAAAGTTCGTGACCAGAATCAATTTTTCCCCCCATTTAAAATAATGTAAATACAAATAATAAATACAAATTTTTTTCAATTTTTTAAATGTTTTTTTGTGACCAAGAATATAGACTTAAATTAAAATAACCTTAATTATACACAAATAATGCTAAATTAAAACAGTACAATTGAGCATACGCTTGTTGGCGGGCTGGTCACTCGAAAGAAGCCAAAACACAGAAAAGAACCACAAAGCATCCCCCCAAAAAAATAAACAATTAACATTAAAAGACTGAGTAACAGTCAAAAACAATACAGTAATTTCGAAAATGTGTTTTTATTATACTGTACATTATTTTCATATGCCTAAAATTATGTACATTTCGTGATGCAACGCGTTGTATGGCGATGAAATTCTTTGTACTGTAAACAAACAATACGCAGTTGCCACTATGTATGAATGGAGAATAACTTAAATAGGACTTAATTTATGCTATTAAGTATTGCAATTTTATGTATAGATATATGACTGTTAAAAACCATCACAAACATGTTTATCAATCACTGAAAGGTACCGCTATAACAGAACGTTCTCTCTCTCAATATTCGACCTCTGAAGAGATATAGTAAAGATATACATCTACAACAAGTTATTTTATACATTCCACAACTGTTCTTGGGCATAATGTACACTTCTTTGTGTTTCAGCGGGTTCTTTGGGGCGCTTTTGGGGGATGTTTGCGTGTTCGCAGCCTGAAACATGGTTTGCGAATCAGAACAAAAAATTTCTGAACATCTGGGCCGGTATGCATAAAACTTCCTAAGAATGGTCTTAAGAATGGTCGTACACTTGGACTTAAGAGTTAAAAAAATCTTAGCAAAAAGTAGGACCTAAGAGCATTGTATAAAGCTGCTAAAAGTAGCTTTCAGCAAAGTCTAAGCCCAATTCCTAAGCGCTGATGGAGCCAGCATTTAAGTGTCGTGAAATG